GGCGGGGGGGTGGGGGAAAGCTGTAGATGCTGCTGCTCCGAGACAGAAGCCCCCTGCCCCTCACACACAGGCAGCCGCGGGCTTCGGGGACCCCCGAGGTGACCGTCAGCTTTCAGAGGCAACGAACAGGGAGAGAACCAAGCTCGCCGCCCCCAGGACAGGCTGCTGGGCCCTGGAGAAGGAGAAGGGGAGGCTCTGAAACCCGTCCCTGAAAAGCCTGCCGAGGGGCGCCGTGGGCTTTTCCAAAGGCCCAGACATGTTTTAAAGAGGCCTCGCTCTGGGAAGGTGACATAGACTTTTAAGTAGACCCAATAAAAATGAGGTTCATTCTTCAACAAATAAATTGCAAGGGGAAAAACTGTGGGACCCCACGGATTAAAGGAGACTTAGGTGACACGTCACCAATCACAAGGTGTGAACCTTATCTGGACCGCAAGTCAATGCACTGAAAAATTAAAGTGAAATAAAAAATACTTATAAGGCAGTTGGAGCTGTGAACACCTTGTGGGTATCTGATGACACGGAGGACTTCTTGCTGATGTTTGAATCAGGTGTGATACTGGTATAATGTTTGGGGGATTGGGGTTTTTTTAAAAGACTATATTTTAGGGGACCTAAGGGAACCCACAGTGCAAACAAAGAGTGCCAGGACTGAAAACCACACTGGCCACGCACCCCTTCTCTCTCATCGGTGACTCCTTCTCACTGTCCCCTCCCCACGCGCCGAAGGCCCGAGCACCCCACCCCCGCCCTCCAGTGTGGGCAGGACGAGTGGGCGGTCGAACAGCCCCACCCAGAGCTCCTCGGGTCGCTGATCCCACCTGGCCAAGGGGTCCTGGAACACAGAGGGTCACTCAGGAAGACCCCACCTCTCCTGGTGTCCGGAGAGCCAAGGGGCAGCTCAGAATAGGCCTGCTCGCTGGGCAAAGTGGCCGCCTCCCCCAGAGCAGGCTGAGCGTGTCCTGTACCAGCTGCCAGCACAGAGAACATGGAGCCTCCGTAAGTGCACGTCACAGAAACGTCAGGGAGATGAGGCCGAGCCCCGAGGTCTGGCTCCATGCTATCTCCTGCTGGCATCTCCCGCTGGCCAGAGCGGCTGGCCAGGCAGCAAGCCAGAGCCCTCTCCTGACCAGAGCGCCTCCTCCCCCCCTGCCCTCTAAACCGTGAGCTCAGCTGCAGGAGGGCGGCGCAGATTCCACTGTGTCCCCACGGTCACTAAGCCCTTGCCCCAGGGGGGGAGCGGAGAGAGGGAGGAAGAAAGGACCCTCCATGACACTGACCCCACCACAGCCCGCCCTGGGACTCGGTGGAGAGAGGTCCTGACGGAAGGAGAACCGGCTGCCTGATAAGCATCAGGCCCTCACACTTTAATTAGAACCATCCACAACAATGGCTGCACCACTCCTGTGTCACCAGCGAAGGGATGAGAGAGCACCGGGGTTCCTACGAGAGGCCGGGGAACCCCAGTTGGGGCAGAAGCACCAGCTCTCCCACTAGTGACCCCTGGGGAGGCCCGCGGGGTCGCACTGGGGGCAGCACCTGTCGTCCTCAGAAGAAGTTCTTAATCAGCGGTGTCACTAGCTTCACCCACAGCTTCACCTGCCGGCTTGGCTGCTGGAAGGTGGCGGAGGACACCGCACCTGACCTCAGGTAGAGCCGCTGCTGCTCCTGAGGAAAAGGAACAAGAGTGAGGGTCTCCTCCAGCACCAGGCGACAGGATGGGGGTGCCAGGGCGCGGCGGCTGCGCCCTGCAAGTTGCCCCTTTAAAACAGTCCTTGGAAACACTAAGACGCCCGTCCGTGTGGGGGGCTGGCAATTCTGAGCTGGTGGAAAAAGCTAACTAAACCCTCCTGAAGGAGGGACTGCACAGCAATGATGATTCTGTGCATGAAACGCAGTTTTTCTTCTCTCCAGTTGACATCACCGGGGCCCATGAGGGCCTGGGAGCAGACGCGCCCCCACCGATGAAGGGGACCGAGTTGTCTTGGCCGAGAGCAGTCTGGCAAAGCTCTCAGAGCCTATCCCCAGAAAATAAGCACGCCCTGAGATTTTTATACACTGGTATTTATCACAGCGACATTTATAATAGGGAAAAACTGGAAACCACCTAAATGTCCAACAACCAACTAATTAAATCTAATAAACCCATGACAAACCAACACTCACCATGAGATACTCATGTTCTAGAAGCACGTTTATGTAGTAACACAGGTAAGCGCACATATTAAGCAAAAAACACTGGATGGAAATAATATATACCATATAATCCTAATTTCACTAAAAAGAAACAAGTTAGACCTCTCCACAAGCTCACAGAATAAAAGATGGCAGATCAAGCAAAAGGATTTCAGCGATTATCTATGGATGAAAGGTCTAGTGTCTTCTAACTTCTTAAATGTTCACAATTACCATTTTCATATTTAAAAACAAGATAACACTTATCTAAACCTTGTCATAAACTGTGCTTGGACTCGTTGATGGAGAAACCGTCTCTTTCAAACAACTCGCCCTCTACACACTGTCCCCTTTCGTAGAGGACCTGTCACGCTTCCGCAGGGGCTGTGACCTGACATCCCCTTAGCTAGGAAACGCCTGCTATCCCACACTACCGTGAGGACACTCTGGCCACGGAGGACCAGCAGCCCCAGAGAAAATACTGGCTGGCTCTCCTCTGGGGGCAGGGACAGGGAGCAGGTCCCTGCAAGCTCGGGAGAGAACAGGACAAGGACGCCTGACCCTCAGAGCACTGGGAACAGGCCCACAGCTTTTCTCATCAAGGCCTGGGGCAGCCCAGCGTCCGGCTGCAGTGCTTCCTGCACGTTCGTAGTGCTGGCTCCGTGGCCGGGCAGCCCGCGCTCGCTCGCGGGGCCTGGCCCAGGGGCGCTCCCGTCGGGCTGTCCTATCCCGTTCTGGTCCCCTGGCCTCCCAACTGCTGCAGCTGTGCCTGACGGAGCAGCCAGCTTCGGTCTCGGGGGCTGGTTTGCAGAAATCTCCACAGACCCAGCTCCAGCTTTATGTTTTCAAATGAATATGCAGCCAAGATTTCAATTAAATTACCAGAAACACTTAAGTTTCCTCACAGACTCCACAACAGGGATGGAGAAGGAAGTCAGCTGATCGAGGTTACAATGCTGTTCAAGGGTGTCTTTCTGGGGTCACAAGGGGTAAACCGTGTTCCCTGAACAAAACCAGGAAGCGTCCAGTTTTTACTGTATGTACTAAGAGAAGGCGGGGCTTCGGGCTCCGACAAAAATATCTCCCATCCCAGTCCCAGTGTGACCCAAGTGGGGCCCTTCCCCGCATCCCAAGGAGAATTCTGAGGCAGCTTCTGGGAGCAGGCACCCAGGCAACGGGGTTTTAGGGACTTTCTGAGCTGTGGGAGGCTGTGTGGCTGGGCAGTCCCAAAACTGGGCATCACACGGGCCTCCCCGACGGCAGCTGCAGTCCCAGGATATGAGCATATAGGTGGAATTACCTAGAAACGCGTTTCTGCATTTCAAAGGCACAGAATCAACGTGCTCCAACGAAGGGAAGAGCTGCAGCATGAACTGCCACCCTCCCACAATCAAAAGCCCCTGGGATTCAGGTTTGGGAAGAAAAAGAAAATATCCCAAATATGTCATTTGGGATAGCAGATCCTGACCACAACCAGCCTGGCTTTTCTCAAGAACCAGGATGTGGGTTCAGTTCCCTTCTCAGGAAGTGGGGGACAGTGGCCGGTCCTAGGGGATTTGCTCCCCCAAATCAGCTCAGGCCCACAGAGACTCTGTCTGGCCCCAGGCCAAGTCACACTAACGCCTCTCTAGTGACCGGAGGCAGAACCTCCAAGACCCAGGCACCTGTGGAAACCCGCTCTCGGCAGCTGGGGCGGAAGCCAGGAGGTTCACTCCTGAAAGGTGCAGCGTGTACCTTTCACACCAGCCAGCTCGGAGGCCAGCTGTCCCTGCTGGAGCCTCGGCTGTGGGGGCTCCCTCGGTCATTTGCTGGAAGCCTCGCTATAGCCAGAAACCTGCTGAGCAGCTCAGACTCTCTCACTGGCCACCCAGAGCATGACCGCTGCCACTTCCTCTCGCCCTAACCGTGAAGCCCTTCCCGGCACCAAGGCCCCCACTCAGGCAGACAAGATTCCCAGATCGCAGGAGGCAGATCCCCGGGAACAAGGCCGCGACCATTTCCTCCTCCATCAACAAAGGCTCCAACTATTTCGCAAGAGCAATTCCCAAACACTGGAGAAGAAAAGCTTCACAAAGTCACCAGCTGAAGCCTCTGAGTCTGGGCCTACAGCAATGTTATCAGCAATGTATTCCCACGACTCAGGAGAGAGGGGAGCTGGCACCTTCCAAGGGAAGGCTTTGTTGTCAAGGCCACAAACTCAGAAGCCCAAAGCATTGCCCAGGCTCACACGTCCGGGTGGGTGCTTGCATTCTCAAAAGTCTATCCGCGCTGATGGCTACAAGCAACCCAATACAAGACATGCACGCAAAAGCACTAATGAATTCCCACTAACTTTCTGTTATTCTTTACTTTAAACAGAAAATAAACCTGACTAGCATGCAAGGAGGTCGAGACCAGGCTCAGGGTCCCTGACCCCAAAACCCTCCAGCCCAAGCTCAGGAGAAATGACTGAACATGCAGGCCCGACCAGACACTCTGGGAAGTGTGTCCTCAAGGCCACCTACGCTTGATTGCCTGTCCACACGACGTGCAGAGCCAGCCAAAGCAAGTCAGGTCCCATCCCCCGCTCTCCAGAGGAATGCCTGCCTTCTCCCTCTCAGGGTTGCAAAGAAAGCAACCCCGTTCCAGCTATAAGCATGAGAAAAACCACACAGAATTCCAGGACACCCACATCCCCAAGGAAGATGGACCCTGACTTGGCTAAGTTTCCTCCCTGGACATGGGGGGCAGGCCAGAGGCCGCCCACAAGTTTCCCGAGT